AGTTAAAGATCCGCTTAATACAAGCGCGACCTTAAGAAGCTAAAAAAGAAGCTTTAAAAGTATTAAACTTAGCCGGAGTGCAAAGGTTGATTAGCTTATAAAAAGAAAGTAGTTTATCGTCGTCGGCGAAAAAACGGCGAAAGTTAGCGGTTTTATAAATAAAGAAAGTGGTTTAAAAGATCGAAAGCTTATATAGCTCTTTGCTTTTAAAATTATCTTCGAAAGAAACTTAAAGAAGCTTTAACGAGCGTTTTATAATTAGCAAGACCGCTTAAAGCTAATCTAATTCCTTTCGAGTTCGACGAGCCTTTTTTTCAGCCTTTTTAACGAAGGTTTTTTATTCGCTAGCGCTTTTATCGAGCTCTTCGTTGCGAGTTTTCATATCTGCGAAAAGCTTCTTAAGCTTAGCGGCCTTTCGTTAAAACTAAAAGAGAGCTTAGTATTAGGCCAAGGCTTCTTCGAAATTAATAAAGGCCGAAAGATCATCTTTATCGTTTTGCTTACTAATAGCTTCTTCTTAAGTAAAAGGAACTACTAGTTAAGCCGTAAAAAAAGAAGAAAGAGCTGCTAAAGCAGCTTTAAAAAATATGCGAAGGATTTTGCTCGCGGAGCGAAGGTTGCTATATTATATAAGTGTTATCTTTTAAGTTATACTTAAAATAAGCTTTCTCGTGACCGTTAAAGTCGTTTAAATGTTTTAACGTCCAACTATTAAAGAATTCTAAAGAAGAATATTATTAAAGCCGTTCCCGGCGGAGTAAAGTAGTTATTAATAATATAACGACCTTAAACGATTACTTAAAAGAACTCACAAGAGCGCGAGAGTTCATATAAAAGCTTAAAAGAATCTTAAAATAATAACTTAGAATTAACAACTACCGAATATAAAAGTCGAAAGTAGCTGAGGTTTATATACACGAAAGTAAAAGCGCTAAAGACTCGTGAACTATAGTTCATAAGTCAAAAGCGAGGAATAAGTGAATACGAAGAATACGAAAGAAAAAAAGAGGGAAGTAGCTTGGCGCATGTGAAGTGCGTCCAGGAGACCTGGCGTGTCGTCACATAAATAGAATATATTAAGCTTTATTTAATTTACAGAATCTCTTCTTGATCTTAATGCTAATAAGCACTATAATTAAAAGCTATATTCGCATTTACGAGCTATTCAGTTAGTCTTTAACAACCTCCGAATTAATCGAGAGCGGATTCTGCAAGTCACTTTAACGCTATTTCGCTATAATTTTCATTTTGCAATTTGTTTTTTTCAATTATATTTATTCTTTACAACTAACACTTATTACTTTTAAAAACTTTAACTAATTTTTAAAAGCTTTAATCACAAAATCAACTGTTATAATAATAGACGATAAAGTAAAAGAGGTTCTTTTAATTAACAAAACGAACTTTATAAATCGTAGCGACTTCTTAAGATAGATTACGAATTACAAATACTTTATTAAGCGCTTTAACATAAAATAATAGGCAGCTTTTCGTATTAGCGTAAAAGAACTTACTTTTTTTATCGAGCAGATCAAAGTAAAAACGAAGTCTATTATAAAGATAATAACGGAGCTTAATAACGAATACTTTTAAAACTAAGACCGCTAACGAAAGGCTTAAGATGAATAGCATTTAAAAGCTTTTGCAAACGATTTTAATAAACTTTTACGACTACGCGAAGCTAAGTTCAAAGACGTCCGAAAAGCGTATAACGATAATATAAAAGAATACAACTTCGTTATAATTAATTAAAAGATCTTAAATAATAAAAGCAATCAAATTATAGATTAAATCAAACAAACGATTAAAAGCTTTATTTTCGAAGAAGCGATCTTAGCGGCTATAAAAGAAGACAATACTTTTATTTAATTCTTAATAGAAAAGCTTTAAGAAATATGCCGTCTATTTAATTCGAACTTTAAGCTATCGATAGTACGAGATTATAATAAATCTTTATAAGTAGTTAAGCAAAAGAGCGTCTTTTTAGCGATTTAAATTAAAGAATACCGAGCTATTTACAAGTTAGCGAAGATAAACGAGCTTTACGAGACGACGAGTATACTCGCTATAAAAGTATTCTTAAAAGTTATTAACGAAAAATAATTATTAACTTAAGCGTTTTTAAAGCTCGCAAAAGTTATTCGAAACGACGAGCTGTTATTGCTTTAAAAGCGCACTTTCTACGACTACTTTAATTAGTACGAAAGCTAAATTAATAAAAAAACTAACAATCCGAACTTTAACTTCTTTAGTGTATTCGCTACTTTCGAAGATCAAACGACTCGCAGCACTTCCGGAAATAATAAAGCTAACGATACTGCTTTTAAGCAGTCCGGTAAACGCTTCGATAGCTTTAAAAGACTTGCTAAAAGTTTTAAATGCTCGTGCTTTAAAAAGAGAATATACTATTAAAACGCAATTAAGTGCAAAATCTTTTGCTATTGCTTTAACGGTCTTAACGAAAGTAGATTCTTAAAGCCGAACCGAGATGATATCGTCGTTATAAAGAAAAGGCTTTAAAAGCTTAAATTTAAAGCGCTTCGAAAAAAGATTACGAAAAAAAGTTAAGCATAAATTCAAGTCGATAAGATGGTTTTAAAAAGTAAAGAAAAGCAATCGAATGATAACGATAAGTTAAAATACTTTAAAAAAGTGTTAATAGCTATTATCGATCTTAAGCTCTTTAGCACGCTCGATAATCTTGTTTTTAACGGTCTTTATAATACGGCTGACAATAAGCACTAGCTATTTAATAACACTCTTTTCGATAATTGCGGCGCTATTTATTTTGTTAACGATAAGAATCTTTTAATATTAAAGTCAATTTAACGCTTTCGCTTAACCGATTTTATCGAAGCTAAAACGAATAATCTTTTAGTCGTTAAGCGAAAGACTAAAGTCTTTAAAAAAGCTTTGAACGGATCAAATAAAGCTAAGATAAAAGATTTGAAGTTAAATAACGTCGCTATCGTTAAAGAATTTAATATTAATATTATTTCGAAAGCTTTTTTAAGCAAGGCTAGCGTATAGTACTCGAGATATAACGCAATTTTTCGTTATAAAAAAGTTAAAGAAAGCGTCGTATTAAAAAAGTTAAAAAAGAAGTTTAACTTTACTTTTTTTAAATACAAGCTATTTAATTATTTTTTACTTTAATTGATTCGTAGCTCTTTTTGCTTAATAATATTCTTTATAACTTAAAAGCGCTTATAAATACGTTATAAATTCTAAAAGAGCAATATCTTTCGAGCTTTAAAAAAAGATTTATCGATACTTTAGCATTTACGAATAAGTCATTTAAGTAAAAAAGCGCTCGAAGCGCTAGCTTATAACGTTAAAAAGATAAGACTTAAAAGAATTATTAAAGTTGAATGTAAAGCATATATTATTACGCACGCTTAATAAGTTATATTTCGCCGTACGTTAAATAATAAAGCAGCTAAGCTATTTTATAAGATCGCTTAAGATTTATTCGACTTTTTTAACGGTTTTAACGAAAGCAAATAATTGTTAATAATTAAAAATAAATATAATAAGAAGTTATTCGGCTTTATATTAAAAGATAAGTTGCAATTGACGGTTATAAAAGTGCTAAAGGAATTTAAAGTATAAACGAGACGCAAATACGGTCTTCTAATAGCTGTTATACGCTATAATAACGATCCTTCGGTAATCGTAATTAACGTTATCAGTTCTATCGAATATCAAAGATAAGCGAAAAAAGTTAAGATCGAATTAAAGCTCTTACTATCTTTTAATTACGAACTTAATAAAAAGCTAAAAAGGCTAAGAAAAAAGTGATAGAACGGTCTATTAAAATAAGAATAAAAACAATGCTCTTAAAGAAGCTCTAGCTTAAGACTACACTAGCCGCTATCTATTTTTACAACATAACACCGAAAGCGAAGAGCTTTATAAAAAGTCCGAATAAAGTGCTATAACTTTAATTCAAGTAATATTTTAAGTAGTACGATTCGGCGATCTTTATACAAATCGACATCGACTTAAGACTGTGAAATTTGAATAAGGAATTGGGGTAAGGAAAAGACGAGTCCAAATTGCTTTGCTTGCTTGCTTGCTTGCTTGCTTGAAGTAAATACAGGAGACCTTTCAAGGTCTTATATAGACTATTAGGTAGTTCTAGAGCCTTCTATATGACTCATAGAATACGTAATAGTATTACAAATCAAAATCAAGTAGAATGTTCCTGAAGGTTCTGGTAGGTCACTTGACTTCGCTTAGAAAGTTCTAGAAGTGCTGATTACAAATCAACACCTTAGAATATTCTAGGCAAAGTAATGATTATAAATCAACACGCCCCTTTAATCATTACTTTAATAAGCTAGATTTAAATCAGAGCTTATATATAAAAGAACTATATGACTGCGCCTCTTAACCCTTATAAAAGCTAGTTTTAAAACAGAGCTTTTATACTTGCAATCTATTTATTTCTTAATATAATTAAGAAAGTTGCAATTGTTTAACAAATTCGTTAAACTTAAGCTTATCGAGAGCTTTAGTAAACCCGTCTGCCTTTTGATTCAAAGTTCTTATATAAACAAGGTCTATAATACTTTTGTCTATAAGATCTCTTATATAATGATATTTAACAGCTATATGCTTTGTTCTTTCGTGAAAAACAGGGTTTTTAGCGAGTAATAAAGCGCCGTTATTATCAGTATATAAGGGGAATTTATCTTGCATATAATAGCTTAATTCGGTAAGAAGTTGCTTTATATAAACAGCTTCCTTAGCGGCCGAATTAATCGCTATATATTCAGCTTTAGTAGTGCTTTGAGCTATTATACTTTGTAATTTTGATTTCCAACTAAATAAGCTAGAGCTTATATAAAAGTTGAAACCGCTAGTCGATTTTGCTGTACTAATATCTCTAGCGTAATCAGCATCGCAATAGCCACTAACGAATTTATTAGGGCTTCTTTGATAAATTAGCCCTAGTTTTATAGAGCTTTTTAAATATCGTAAGATATTTTTAAGACTTATAATATGGCTTTCGCTAGGATTGCTTGCAAATCGAGCTAGCTTAATTACAGCGTAGCAAATATTGGGTCTAGTTGCTAGCGTCAAGAATAAAAGGCAGCCTATTACTTGCTGGAACCACGTGATCTCTGACGCGCTAGCCTTATTAGGATTAGGCTCTAATTTAGCCTTTGAATCTATTGGTATTGGTTTAGGCTTGCAATCTAGCATATCGAAACGATTCAAAATCTTAGTAATATAAGATTCTTGGCTTAATTTCATATAGCCTCGCTTAATATCGTATTCGATATCGATACCTAAATAATCTTTTATTAGCCTTAAATCCTTTAATTTAAAGTATTTTTGAAGTTCTTTAATAAAGGATTTTATTGTATCGATATTCGGACTAATAAGTGCTAAATCATCAACGTAAACGCTAATGATTAATTTTAGCTCTTTATTATACAAAATACAGCTATCAGCTAGTAAAGGCGTAAAGCTGAATTTTTGTATAAGCACTTCTTTTAACGTGATAAACCATAAGCGAGCTGATTGTTTCAGTCCGTATAATGCTTTATTAAGCATTAATAGCTTATTCGCGTATTTAGAGCTATTGATTCCTATTAAAGGAATTATATATAGCTTTAAGTCAATATCGCTTTGAGTAAAAGCTGATATTATGTCGATTTTATATATAAACCAGCCATATAAAACAGCTAGCGCAAAAATTAAGCGCCAAGCCATTTGTTTAACAACGCTAGCAAAGGTATCTATATAGTTTAAGCCATATAATTGCTTAAACCCTTTAGCCACGAACTTTGATTTAAATTCGTAGGTATCGGTACCTTGCTTGATTTTATAAACCCATCGAGTTTTTAAGGGTTTAATATTATTGCTAGCGCTTTTATTGACTACTTTCTAAGTATTTTGGCTTTTTAATGACTCTATTTCATTTTGCATAGATTTAAGCCAGTAGTCCTTATATAAGGCTGAGTTTATAGCTTCCTCATAGCTTTTAGGCTCTAATGGCGGAGTGCTAATAGAGGATTTTTTAATAGTTACTTTAGAACTATTTTTATCGCTTAATTTAATTAGCCCTTGATCGAGATTTCGATCAGTTTTAGAGCTAATTAAAGCCATTGAAGCTAGAAGAGTTACGTTCTTGTAAACCGACATAGCTTGTATTTGCTCTTCGATTAATCGATTATTTAGCTCTGTAATAGCTAAATTAAAGGAGTTATTTTTACTCGATCTAGTAGTTACGTTTGGTCTTTGATCGGAGTAATCTTTCGCCGGGCCTCGAGTTTTAGGAGCCTTAGGCGCTTCTACGGTAGCCTTATTAGGATCTGTATTTAGATCACTAAGAGCATCGCTAGCGCGAGATTCAGTGTCGTCAAAATAAGGTTGATCTTCGGCTTCTTCTATTTTAACGACTCTTGGCTGGCTAATATTCGGCTGATTATTATTAGTATTATCGATTGATTTAATACTAGTAGTAAAATCATCATCGCTTTTAGTAGAAGGTAACTCTTCTTCGATTATATCGAAATAATCGCTCTTTTCGTTAATTAGTTCGTCTTTAAATTTAAGGTCTTTTTTAATAAGAACGTTTTTTGAACTAATTACGACTCTTTTACTCGGGAGGTAGATCAAGTAATTATTAGCTGATTCGAAACCAACTAATAGCCCCTTTTCATCTTTATCGGCCAATTTATTGTCTCGCTTATTTTTTAATATATAAGCTAGAGAACCTAGTATTTTAAAGTAGCTTATATAAGGCTTTTGGCCGTAAAGAGCTTCGTAAGGGGTCTTTTTAATAACCGAGTTATAAGACCGATTTTTTATATGAGCTATTGCTTGCAATAATTAGGGCCATAAAAATAGAGGTATATCTCTATCTTTACATACGCTTATTAAGCGTTCAATTAGGTAACGATTTAATCGTTCGGCTATGCCGTTTTGAGAAGGTGAATAAGGACTAGTATATTCGCAAATTATACTTTTGCTTTTGCAAAACGTAGTCCATTTATTCGAAGTGAATTCTCTTGCGTTATCTAATTTGAATACCTTTATATTAAAGCTAGGTTTTCGATCGAATTGAGTTGTAATCATATTATAAAATTCAACTAATCGATCAAATACGTCAGCTTTAAATTTTAAAGCGTATAGCTAAATGGCTCTAGAACCTCTGCACGTGAAAGTAACGAAAAATCGTTCTCTTAATAAGCCTTTAATTTTAAAAGGCCTTGCTATATCTATATCGAAAGCAGTTAAAGGGGGTGAGTCTGACATAGGCTTTTTACTATTCATTTGAGTAATTTTGCCACTTACGCAAGACTCACAATTTTCAAGATTTTGTTCAATAGCTTTAGAAAGACCTTCGCTATTATCGATTGTTTTTAAAACAAAATCTTTATTTACGTGCAATAAGCGCTTATGATAAAGGCTTAATTTGGTAGTCACAAAAGGATCTACCTTGAATAATAGAGGTTCTAGGTATTTATCATTAATTTCGACCTTTATAAAATAAGCGTTATTAGCCCATTTTACGTTAATATAAAGTTTGAAAGAAGCATGAGAGATTTTAGCTCCATTTCGATCGAAATTAATAGCCCAGTCCTTATTTATAAGCTCTTTTGAACTTATTAAGGTCGTTTTTAGCTTAGGAATATAATTGACGTTTTTAATTATAATCTCTAAGCTTATTTTCGACTTAATAGGGATATCACCTATGCTTAGAATAGGCATAATATCGCCATTAGCGATAATTATAGACTTCTTAGCTATTGGCTTATAATTTATAAACCAAGCTTTATTAGGCGAATAATGCTCTGAGGCTCCTGAATCTAATACGAATTTATTATTATTCGTAATAGAATAAGCTATGCCAAAGTGATTTAATTCACTATTAGAGCTAGAATTAGTAAAAGCACTCATTAGTGCTTTACTAGAGCCATTCTTGAAGTCTTTATCCTTAGCCGATATAGCCTTATTATTAGGCTTTTTATTAAAGTTCGGCTTTAGTTCGGGGTGCAATTTAAAACAAGTTGAATTTAAGTGCCCCTTTTGCTTACAATGCGAGCAATATTTAGCGTTATTTTTAAACGCTTTATTTGCTTTTAAATCCGCGCTAGTACCTATTCGGGCCTCTTCTGATAATAAATCAGATATAAGCGAATCGATATCTACCTCTTTAAAGTTACTAGATATTTCCTTAAATTTTCTAAAGGCGAAGCTATCAAAAGAGCTAAGTAAACCCTTGAATATAAGGCTAGCTAATACTGGCTTGGGAATCTCACAATTCATCTCTTTAAGATAAATTGCACTAGATTGAATAATACTAGTATATTCATCTATATTTTTACAAGAGCTATAAGTTGTTTCGATTATTTTATATACGTGTCGATTTACTTCTTCTAGCTTTGTATCGCTATAAGTCTCATTTATAGCGTCATATAGATCCTCAGCGCTAGTTTTATCTTTAAATCGCTTTTGATTTTCAAGCGATATAATAGATTTTAGCGCTCCCAAAGCCTTTTTATTAGCTTCTTCGAATTCGCTCAATTTATCAAGATATTTTACGGCTAGCTCAGGTGAATAAAGGGACCAAGTAATAGCTCCCTCACTATTCTTAGCTTTAGCGTAATAAAGCTCTTTATTTGGCTTTTCTTTAGAGCCATCAATATAAAG